CCCTGGGGGGCTGCGATCTGCGCCATTGTCGCCACTTTCGCTGGCTCCTGGGAGGCCCAGCGGAGGTACGCCGAACGCGGATCACCTCGGGACCTCGCGGCGTCCTGGGGGGCTGCGATCTGCGCCATTGTCGCCACTTTCGGATCGTGGGCTCGTGGGAGGCCCAGCGGATGTACGCCCAACGCGGATCACCTCGGGACCTCGCGGTGCCTTGGGGGGCTGCTGCGATCTGCGCCATTGTCGCCACTTTCGTGGCTGCGATCTGCGCCACTGTCTCCACTTTCGTGGGCTCCTGGGATGCCCAGCGGAGGTACGCCCAACGCGGATCACCTCGGGACCTCGCGGCGCCCTGGGGGGTTGCGATCTGCGCCATTGTCGCCACTTTCGTTGGCTCCTGGGAGGCCTAGCGGAGGTACGCCCAACTCGGATCACCTCGGGACCTCGCGGCGCCCTGGGGGGGTGCGATCTGCGGCAATGTCGCCATGTTCGTGGGCTCCTGGGAGGCCCAGCGGAGGTACGTCCAACGCGGATCACCTCGGGACCTCGCGGCGCCCTGGGGGGCTGCGATCTGCGCCATTGTCGCCACTTTCGTGGCCTCCTGGGATGCCCAGCGGAGGTACGTCCAACGCGGATCACTTCGGGACCTCACGGCGCCGAACGCGGATCACCTCGGGACCTCGCGGCGCCCTGGGGGGCTGCGGTCTGCGCCACCGTCGCCATGTTCGTGGCCTCCTGGGAGGCCCAGCGGAGGTACGTCCAACGCTGATCACCTCGGGACCTCGCGGCGCCCAGGGGGGTTGCGATTTGCGCCATTGTCGCCACTTTCGTTGGTTCCTGGGAGGCCCAGCGGAGGTACGTCCAACGCGGGTCACCTCGGGACCTCGCGGTGCCCTGGGGGGCTGCGATCTGCGCCACTGTCGCCATTTTCGTTGCCTCCTGGGAGGCCCGGCGGAGGTACGCTCAACGCGGATCACCTCGGGACCTCGCGGCGCCCTGGGGGGTTGCGATCTGCGCCATTGTCGCCATTTTCGTGGCCTCCTGGGAGGCCCAGCGGAGGTACGTCCAACGCGGACACCTCCTCGCGGCGCCCTGGGGGGCTGCGATCTGCGCCATTGTCGCCAGGCCTCTGGGAGGCCAGCGGAGGTACGCCAACGCGGATCACCTCGGGGCTTCGCAGCGCCCTGGGGGCTGCGATCTGCGCCATTGTCGCCACTTTCGTGGCCTCCTGGGAGGCCCAGCGGAGGTACGCCCAACGCGGATCACCTCGGGACCTCGCGGCGCCTTGGGTACTACGATCTGCGCCATTGTCGCAACTTTCGTGGCCTCCTGGGAGGCCCAGCGGAGGTACGTCCAACGCGGATCACCTCGGGACCTCGCTGCGCCCTGGGGGGTTGCGATCTGCGCCTCTGTCGCCACTTTCGTGGCCTCCTGGGAGGCCCAGCGGAGGTACGTCCAACGCGGATCACCTCGGGACCTCGCGGTGCCCTGGGGGGCTGCGATCTGCGCAATTGTCGCCACTTTCGTGGCCTCCTGGGAGGCCCACGCGGAGGTACGCCCAACGCGGATCACTTCGGGACCTCGCGGCGCCCCTTGGGGTGCTGCGATCTGCGCCACTGTCGCCACTTTCGGGGCCTCCTGGGGCCCCCTGGGAGCCAACCACCCTGGGGGGGAGGAGGAGGAGGAGGAGGAGGAGGAGGAGGAGGAGGAGGAGGAGGATGAGGAGATCTGCGCAATTGTCGCCACTGTCGTGGACTTCTGGGAGGCCCACGCGGAGGTGCGCCCAGCGCGGCTCGCCGCGAGCGTGCGTTCCCGCGGCGGCCCCTTCGAGGAGCGAGGGGGACAGGGAGAGGGGCAGGCGGGGTGGGGGGGGGGCACCCCAGTGGCAGCGAGAGGAGGCTGGGGAGGGGAGGGCGAGGGAGGGGAGCCCGAGTTTCCCGAGGCCGAGGGGCAAGGGGGGGGGCACCCCAATGGCAGCGAGAGGAGGCTGGGGAGGGGAGGGCGAGGGAGGGGAGCGAGTGTTTACCGATGCTGATGGGGCGGCTGCAAGGCGCGCTCCTCGGCAGCGGGCCCAGGGGCAGGTGGTGGGTGGACCCGCGTCCGCCGCTATGCTGTGCCCAGGAAGAGTGAGGGGGGAGGGCGAGGTGAGATAGGATGACCTCCTCCTCTTCCTCCTCCTCCTCCTCCGCCTCCTCCTTCTCCCCCTCCTCCCCCTACCCCTCCTCCTCCTCCTCCTCCTCCTCCTCCTCCTCGTCCTCCTCCTCCTCCTCCTCCTCCTCCCCATCCTCCTCCATGGGGGGAGGGCGAGGTGGGATGAGGGAAAGAAACATGCGATCCGCGCTCGCGCCACATCCGACGTCCTGGCTCGCCCGTCCATCCGCGCTCGCGCCACATCCGACGTCCTGGCTCGCCCGTCCATCCCTTCCATTTGCGCGCTGCCTGCCAACGACTGCGGTGTCCTCGAATACGTGGACCGTCTTATGGCGGCCCCGGGACTGGACCAATCCCTTGCTCTGACATCAGCGATTGGGGGCCTGTAACAAGCTGGGAAGGGAAGGGGTAATTGTGATGTTAAGATGGCATGATGATACTTATACTGATAATGATACTGCTCATGCCAATGATGATGATGATGATGATGAGGAGGAGGATGATGATGAAGATGAGGAGGAGGATGAGGATGAGGATGAGGATGAGGATGAGTATGAGGATTATGATGATGATGATGCTGATGATGATGATGATGATGATGATCATGATGATCATGATGATGATGATGATGATGATGATGATGATGATGATGATGATGATGATGATGATGATGATGATGATGATGATGATGATGATGATGATGATGATGATGATGATGATGATGATGATGATGATGATGATGATGATGATGATGATGATGATGATGATGATGATGATGATGATGATGATGATGATGATGATGATGATGATGGTGATGGTGATGGTGATGGTGATGGTGATGGTGATGGTGATGATGATGGTGAGGAGGAGGAGGAGGAGGAGGAGGAGGCGGAGGGGGAATAACCCCACCAGCCTTCTGAACGTAGGTGGTCGTCTAACGAGATTAATGTGTTCCTCGTCCAAAACAATACCCCGCGACGTACCCGACCCTTCTGTGGTGATTACACTCAGGACCACTCAATGCTGACGGGCATGCTGAGAAACCCGCAGTGCGGAAGAAGAGCACCCAGCAGTGAAATCAGAAGAGCGCAGCAAGAAGAGCAGCCGCAACGCGTAAGCCGTACCTCTGTTGGGCCTCCCAGGAGCCCACGAAAGTGGCGACACTTGCGCAGATCGCAGCCCCCCCAGGGCACCGCGAGGTCTCGAGGTGATCCGCGTTGGACGTACCTCCGCTGGGCCTCCCAGGAGCCCACGAAAGTGGCGACAATGGCGCAGGTCGCAGCCCCCCCAGGGCACCGCGAGGTCTCGAGGTGATCCGCGTTGGACGTACCTCCGCTGGGCCTCCCAGGAGCCCGCGAAAGTGGCGACAGTTGCGCAGATCGCAGCCCCCAAGGCCACCGCGAGGTCCCGAGGTGATCCGCGTTGGACGTACCTCCGCTGGGCCTCCCAGGAGCCCACGAAAGTGGCGACAGCGGCGCAGATCTCCTCCTCCTCCTCCTCCTCCTCCTCCTCCTCGTCCTCCTTCTCCTCCTCCTCCTCCTCCTCCCCCTCCCCCTCCTCCTCCTCCTCCTCCTTCTCCTCCTCTTCCTCCTCCTCCTCCTCCTCCTCCTCCTCTCCTCCTCTTCCTCCTTCCCGTAGCCATTTTGGCTCAAGATGCTTTGTTCCACAGGGGAACGCGTGGATACCGGCAGTCCGCGGCCAGTTTGTAGTCCTTCCCCTGGTCAGCCCCAGGGCGAGCGCCGAGGTGGTCCGCCCCACCTCGGCGCGTCTCTCTCATCCCAGGCATGGTGCCGCAGCCGCCAGCGGTCACTGTGCTTCGAGGCCCGCGCAAGTCCCACTGGTGCTGCGGGCAATGCGGGCGCGCGGAGAACTGGGCGTGCCGCATCCAGTGCCTCTGCGGCCGCGACGCGCCCGCTGCCATCGTCTCGCGTGCTCGCCAGAAGCACAAGGAGGCTGATGCTGGCGGAGGCGGCGGCAAGAAGGCGGGCTTCAAGCAAGGAGGCTCGGCGACGCAGGGCATCCCCAAGCAGCTTGCGGAGTGGATGCAGGCAATCGAGAAGCGCTTAGCGCCGCCCACAAGGGGTGGCCCAAGCCTGGCGGCACAGCGCCGTGGCGCGAGGCCGCAGACGGCGCTGACCCTGATAAGAAGTCAAAGAGTACCAAGCTCGGCGAGCGGATCACGGAGCTCGAGGAGTGCATCAAGAAGCTTCCACCCGCCGACGAGCGCAACAAGGATCTTCGGGGTCCGATCGAGAAGCAGTTGGAGACGCTGCGTGCGGAGAAGCGTGCGCTACTGTCTCCCCAGGCCCTCCATCGGCGCACGCAGCAGGATTTGTAGCGGGCGCGGAACGGCCTGGAGAAGTTGGAGAAAGAGTAGGGTGAGAAGGATCGCCAGCTTGAGGAGCTGGCCAAGGGCATCGCGACGCGCAAGGAGACCATCGCAGCCAAGAAGTTGGAGGTGGCGGCGCTGGACGCGGCTTTCAGCGAGTCGGCCAAGAACGTCACCACCGTTGCGGCCGACATCGGCCTTGTTGAGGACGACGTGGCCGACCAGCCCGACCTCGTCGCGCTCATCAAGTCTGAGGCATGGGTCAAGCTCAAGTCGGCGGTCGCCAGCAAGGCTGCTGCCCGCGCCGCCAGCGCTGGGACTGTTCCTCCTACTGCTGATGCTGCTGATGAGGCTATGCCTGCCCCCACGGAGGTGCAGAAGCGGGCCCTCTATCATGCTCGGAGCGAAGGCAGCATCGATGACTTCATGTCCGCCTTCGACACTATGTGGTCCGAGCTGGCGGCCAAGCGAGCGCGGCATGGGTAGTCCTTCGACTGCCTGGCCTGACGTTTGTGGGCTGCCTGGGCGTGGGCGGGAGCCGCCGAGCGGGGCCAGGCCGACGGTCGGCGCTGAGTTCAGCATCGAAACCTACAACGCCAGCGGCGGCAAGGCGTCCGTCAAGAAGCGCATCGCCAGCACGATGGCGAGCGTGGCGCTGCTGCGGGAGTTCGGGCACATCAGCGAGCACGTCGGGGCTTTGGCTTCATGGTGCGGTGTGCGGGTTTGGAGGCTTATGGCGTTGCCGAGCCTGCCGGCTTCTGGTTCTGTGCCGTCGGCAGGTGTTGCTGTTGCCGTGCGCGATCGTCGCGGACTTCGTCCTCCTAGCGTCGGTGTGCATGAGGTCGCCCCGAACCGAGTTCAGCATGTTCTCATCGATATACCCGAGCTGCCTGTCGGCCTGCATGCCTTCAACGTGTACCTGCGCACTGGTGAGGGCGCCGCTGGCCGCAACGGCAGGCTGTTGCAAGAGTTGGGCCTCGCTGCTGAGGCACTGGACGGTCCAGTCGTCATTGGTGGTGATTGGAACATGTGCCAAGGCGAGTTGGAGGCGAGCCAGTTCCCCGCTCACGTTGGTTGTTTGATTGTGAGCTCGTCTTCTGTCACGTTTCGAGGAGGTACAGGTCAGTATGTTATCGATTGTATCCTCCTCAACTCAGCGGCCATGAGGATGTATGCCAGTGTGGGCATTGATGTCAAGTGGGCCAAGCGAGGCCATCGGCCTGTTCATATTTTCCTCAAAGGTGATGCTGAGCACGTCAAGCGGCTGGTCTACACGGCGGCGCTAAAGATGGACACCCAGATCATCATCGGGCCGCAAGTGCAGCCGCCCACCTACACTAGCGCTCGGTGTGTTGCCGAAGCTGCTGTCCAGTCGTGTGGCGATCCTGAGTCTCCCCCTGGAGTTGGATGGGGCCTTCTCTCGGCGGCGCGGGGCCACTTCGCTGTCGCAGCCGCAGAGGCTATCGCGAACGCTGTGGGTCATCAGGATCGCAAAGTTCTGTTTGGTTTCGCTCGGTACTTGCAACCCCGGTGGATCGACATCACCTATGCGGTCAAAGACGCGTCCGACCTGCAGGCTGTGGCCGAGGGTTGGCAATGGTTGCAGTCTTCCCTCCTCAGCATCATGCAGTGCAAGACGGTGGCCAACCCGTCCGTGCAGGACCTGTCGTTGGCTGCTGAGGAGATCCTCAACTTCGCGACGGCCAACTACCATGGGCAGGGTCTTGCCGCACGCCTCGATCGATCTGTTCAGCAGGCGCGCGGCATGGTGCAGGCTGGCTTCGAGGAGGAGGCATGCCGCGAGTTCCTAGGGGACATTGAGCCCGACGTCAAGCTCGCGGTCAACGGAGCTACCCAGGAGGACCGCCAGAAGTGGAAGGAGTGGTGCGCCATAGCTGTTTCCAATGGCTGACGCGTCCTCCACCGCGCTACGAAGTACCGCGACGTTGCTCAGCCCACGGTGGTCCCAACGGCCCACGGTGCGTTGGCCCACGCGCGCGATGTTGTTCGGCACGAAGTGGAGTTGTACAAGAGGTGGTGGTCCAGTTCCCGCCCAGTGCCAGCATGGATTCCTGACCGAACGGCGTTGCCGAAGGTGAATCCTGGCGAGCTACGTGCAGTTGCGCGATCGTTCTCGCACAACACCACGGCAGCGCCTGATCATTTTCATCCGCGTCACTTCCTTCTCTTGGAGGATCAGGCCCTCGAGGTGGTCGCCCTGATGTTCAAGGCGATGGAGTCTTTGGGACTACCGCCGAGGCAGTTGTGCTGGTTGACCACACCGATGCTACCCAAGACGTCTGGTTCTGGCAATCGGTTGGTGGTACTCCACGCTGGGCTCTACAGGATTTGGCAGCGGACGCGGCGGCCAGTGCTTCGAGAGCTGCAGGCCAGATTGACAGGCCGTACTGGGGTGCTGCTCGTGGGCGGTCCTCCGTCGACTGCGCGTGGCTTCAGGCGACCGAGGGTGAGGCCGACAGCAAGCAGGCCTACCACGGCGCACTCGCAGTTGCCGATTTCAGTAAGTTCTACGAGCGCATTCCTTTGACCAATCTGCGCGACAAGTACATCAGTTTCATCGCGCCCACGGCCTTCCTGAAGTTGGTGTACAACATGTGGCGTGCGCCACGTGTGCTGGGGTTAGCTGGTCATCCTGCGGAGCAGGCCCTTTGTGCCGAATGCGGTCTCCCTGCTGGAGATGTGTGTTTGTGATTTCTCGATCAAGGTATGGTTTGTGAGGGAGTATGACAGCTTCCTTGTCAGGCAGCAGTTCATTCAGTTTGTGAGCTACATTGACGACAACTCGATTCGGGTATCGTCTACCACGGTGAGCACGACTACTTCCATGGTGGTCAACGCAATGCTGGAGTTCAGGGAGACTGTCACTGAGCTCGACGCGATCATCAACAACAAGCTAGTGATTGTCGGCACCACCCTCTCCCTTGCGCAGGGCATCGTGTCCAGGCTCGGCCTACCTGCCTCTGTTGCGAGGCGCAGCGTGGTCTATGTCGGCGTCGACGTCAGCGAGGGCAGCAGGGGGGCCGACCAGGGCGTGCTCACCAAGCGCGCCAAGCGTAAGGTGCATATGCTGAGGCGCACGCGGAAGATCAGGCGCTTCGGCAAGGCCATCACTGGCCACAAGGCGCAGTCTATCGGCCGTGCCATCCGCGCTGGCGCCTTGCCCGAGGCCACCTACGGCAGTGAGGTCGTCGGGCTCAGCAACTCGGAGTGGCTGAGGTGCAGGCGTGATGTCGCTCGAGGCCAACTTCCTCTGCATGGTGGTGTGAGCCTTCCGAGCAAGACTGTCTTGCTCGGTGATGGCGCCGCTGCATCCGCCATTGCGCCTGCCATCCAGTGGTGCAGACTGTTGTGGCAATCGAAGGTCTGCAGACACCCGCTCGCTGTGCGTGCTCGTTTGTTGAGGCTATGGCGTGAAGCCAAGCCTTCTCAGGTCACCGACTGGGCATATAGTCGTGCCCCCTTGTCTCGAGCTGCGCTAGCTGCGCAGCGTGCGGGCTGGCGAGTCTTGTCTGCGATGAGCTGGATGGGCCATCGAGGTGCGACAATCGACGTTCGCAGAACGCCTCCGGGTATGCGTTCAACTCTCATGTTTGGTGGCATTCAGCGTCAGCACGAGAGGGCTTTGGCCATGCAGCTGGGAGTTCCGACAGGCTACAGGGCCTTGCTTGACTTCGTTCGGTCGTCGGTCGGCGGTCGGTCTCGACGGCTCTCTAGTCAGCAGAAGTTGCTTGTTGGGAGCTGCTCATGCCGCGAGTCTGGACCAAGGCCCGCGCCCAGGCTGCTGGCTACATGTGCGATGGCCCTTGTGCGTGCGGCCAGAGGCAGACAATCAAGCACTGTTTGTATGAATGCATGCTGCCTGCCGTCGTCGCCGCCCGCACTGAGGCTAAAGTCAGCCCGCTTTTCATCAGTGCAGGTATCGAGTCTGATGATCCCATCTTTGTGCAAGGAGTTCTCCTGTATGACGAGGGGGGGATTCCTCCCCCTTCCTGCTCGGATAAAGTGGTCCTCGAGGGCCCTGAGGGGGAGGAGTTGGCGGTTGAGGTTGAGGGGGTGGCGTCTCTCGTTCAGGGCCCTCGATTGGACGTAGCCCCCGACGGCTCCTGCACACGGCCAGGCTTAGTGGAGCTTGAGCGCGCGTCGTGGGCAATTGCAGTGCTGTCTCCTGGGTCTAATGTGCCCGTGGCAGTAATTCGAGGCCCTGTTGCTGGCAACCTCCCGCAAACGCCGAGCATCGCCGAAAGTGTTGCGCTTTGTTTGATTGGCCAGATCGCCGACCGCGAGACCCTGGCTGGCAGCGACTGTATTACACCCTGCGATTCGGCGATTCCAGCAGCCTGTTCAATTTCAGCTGCGCGCGTCCAACCAGGCAGCTGGCTTTCTGAAGTTCTGTCGTGGCCTGGAAGGCCACCAATTCATCTCGGTTCGGCACGTCAAGGCTCGTCGGTCCCAGGAGCAGATTGACAGTCTGTCGGGCGAGGGGCGCCACTGGGCCGAAGCGAACCGTTTCGCCGATCACCATGCTAAACTTGCCGCCAGTTTACACCCTGCTCCATCGCCAGAGTTTTTGGCCAAGCTTGATCTCGCGAGGAGTCGGGCTGCCGATTTTGTGGCGTTGGCTGCTGCCGTCCTCCCGTGCTTTCTCGAGGAGAGGCCGCAGCGGTGGCGGAGACCCACAGCACTGTGCCGACAGAGGAACTCTCGGGGGGAGGGGTGGCACGCTTGGGGTCTGGGGGAGCTCGGCTGGCAGTGCGAAGTCTGTTTCAAAGTTGCGCCATCGTGTCGTAACTTGCCGTTGAATGGTTGTATTGGGACCCCGTCGTTTTTGAAGCCTCTCACGGTTGACTCGATGGGACATCAGCTCGTCGCCGTCAGTGGCTCTCGTCTTGCTCCGTTGCGTGCTGTGCGGTGCCGTGCCGAGGAAGAGAGCACTGAGGCTCGACGGGGATCCCTGTTGTGTCTGAAGTGTGGAGGTTGGAGCCAGGAAAAGGCCATTAAGTTGAGCAAGCCCTGTGCCCCCCTCCACCTGCACTGGTAAAATGATTTTGTCGCGTTTTCGGAGAGGGCTTGCCCCGAATCCCCGAATTCGTGCATTGATCGACCGAGCGCCCCACGCGTCGGCCTCACAGTGGCTAGTGCGAGGGATGTCAGAGCGACGACTTCAGTTGTTGAGTACTCGGTCGACAGTGCCATCTCGTATGAAGCTCGAATGGCTCGCTTGATGGAGCGAGTTCGAGCCCGCGAGAATAGTCGCCAGGTTTGAGGTTTCGCAGCGGGTACACCTGTCGCGAGCGCCGTGCGTGGCTTTGTCACCACGCTCGGCCTCACAAAATCTCCCCCTGATGGGGCACCCGCCCAACAAGTTTTGCGGGCTGGACCCTCTCTCAGAGGACTGTCCTCCTGGGAGTCGCCCCATCATCTCCTCCTCCTCCTCCTCCTCCTCCTCCTCCTCCTCCTCCTCCTCCTCCTCCTCCTCCTCCTCCTCCTCCTCCTCCTCCCCAGGGTGGTTGGCTGGAGGGGCGCCCGCCCCGTCTCCCTGCATTTTTGCGCTGCTCGCGCCCGAGCGGGCGGCCGCGCGCGCCGGGGCCCCCGCGATCGCCGCGGCGCGGCGGGAGCGCCCCAGTCGACTACACGTAAGAGTGACCTTTCCCAGACGTCGGGCGTCTCGAAAAAATCGAGACGGAGGTTTCTCATAATTAGTTTTCGGCCTCTCGGGGCCCTCGCCGGGCCTCGGGACCGTTAAAAAACGACTCGGGATGAAAAACCGGTCCCGGGGAAGTGGTCGGGAGGTCGGGGGGCGAGTTTCGAAAAAATCGAGACGTCGGATGTCTGGGTTCGCCGGAGTGACCTTTGGTGCGAGTCCAATGGGGTCCCCCGATCACCGATTGCGATGCGACCGTTGCGCCTCGCGCGCTCGTTTTGGGTCCCCCCCCGCGGCCCCCCAAAGAGCCGCGCACCAGAGGTCACTCTTGCCCAGGGTCACTCCCCAGACATCCGACGTCTCGATTTGTTCGAAACTCGGGCCCCCGACCTCCCGACCACTTCCCCGGGACCGGTTTTTCATCCCGAGCCGTTTTTTAACGGTCCCGAGGCCCGGCGAGGGCCCCGAGAGGCCGAAGACTACGAAAAACCTCCGTCTCGATTTTTTCGAGACGCCCGACGTCTGGGTCTGGCGTGCAGGCGACCCCGGGCGGGCGCCGAGGGGGCCTCGTCTGGCTGCCACTCTGCCCGCCGAGCGGGGGGCGGCGCGGGGCCGCCGCGCGCCAGGGCGGACGGCAGACGAGAGGAGGCGGGGGCGCCGGAGAGCGCAGCCGGCACGCCGCGCGCGCGGCAGCGGCGGGGGGCGCGCCGCCGCGGGGCGGGTGGAGGAGCACGAGGAGGAGGGGCACGGGTAAGGGGGGGAGGAGGGGGAGGAGGGGGAGGAGGGGGGGGAGAGGAGGGGGGGAGAGGAGGGAGAGGAGGAGGGGAGGAGGAGGAGGAGGAGGAGGAGGAGGATCAGGAGGAGGAGGAGGAGGAGGCCCTGCGGGCGGAGGAGAGGAGGAGGAGGAGGAGGAGGAGGAGGAGGAGGAGGAGGAGGAGGAGGTCATGGGCATGAGGAGGGAGACTGACATTAGGAGGATCATACTTCGAAAGAAGAAGAATAAGAAGAAAAGCCAGGAGAAGAACGAGGAGGAGGAGGAGGACCCAACCAGTGGACATACCTACGACCAACCAGCACCCAGCCAGCACATCGACTCCAACAACACAGGCCAGTACTGACAACATGGCCCATCCGCAGCCCAATACACCCACCACCACCGCAGTTGAGGATAACAGTGATATCCCACCACCAAAAGCTGCGCCTGCACAAAGGTGGCTCATCGACTTTCCATCATATAAACGCACACCGCACACAGCTACTTCGCCCGAAAGTTCCACCTGACATGCCTGACGGTCAAACAGGCTCCACACAGGTGCCAGCATGCAACGGATGGTTTGACACACAGCACGTTGACGGCACCGATGACAATCAGCTACTATACTGCCGGGACGCAGTTCGCGACCACCAGCGACGCGATCAACAAAACTTCGAAGAGGTGGACAGATGCAGCTCACGACTCCGGGATACTCAACACCGCGACGAGATCACTACAGCGCTCAAGGCTCCACCCGTGTCCAGACCCAAGTCTCGGACGGCCGAGCACGAAGCGCCACCGGCACCGAAGCCAAGCCTTCCGACGCACAGTGCAGAAGGACCATGCTCGGGCTAGTCTATTCGGGCGAAGAGAACTATGCACATGCACCGATCCTGACAACGCCCATCCTTGACCCAGGATCGGTGCATATACCTTCCTGGCCAAGGTAAGAGGGCGTATGCACCGATCCTGGGCTCAGGATGGTCCTGGCCAGAATCGGTGTGTGTGCACAGTTCGCTTTCCTCTGTCTATGACCTCGCATCGTCTGCAACGGATACTCCCAGAGCGTCAATGTCCACATGGACTGCGCTGCCCCAAACTCCTCCCGCCTCAACTTACAGGCGTTTGCACGTCGCGTCCTCTTTACGGTGTCCGTTCCTTCTCCTGCTGCTGATGTCCACCCGCGTCTACTCCTCTACCTTCTTACCAGTTTTCTGCTTTACTCTTTTTCTTTTATCACCCGCAACAGGGTTCGCGCTGAATCCGAACAAACAGGTTGCAACAAACACGCGGGTCCCATCACCAAGGAGGCTAGGGGCGAAACGATAAAGCCTTAGGTTGTAGCCTCATTATTGCTACGAGCGTCGAACATACCATCTCACAAGTGTTGCTTTATTTGTCCCAACGTATCTTTATTTGTAGCACTGAGGAGGCCAGCCAGTACTACTTGTGCCAGCCTAATCAGTTGCCGCTTCTTCATTCCCTTGAGTTTAAACATCTGCATTATACGTAAGGGCTTCGCCCCTTGCCGCCAGCCCCGTCTCTATCAGACTGGGATGTGTGTGTATATATATATATGTATACAGGAGTCGCGTCGGTGCGTCTCGGCGCAGCCTTGGCGCATCTGGGAATATCATACGGGGGCGGATAGGAATCATCAGCGCTTATCGAGACGTTGGCGTTATCGAAGACGCCTACGGCGAATCACCGCCGCCCCCTGCCTTTTTGGAAGCGCCTATGTGGCCGAACGTTGAGGCCAGACCTGCCAAGCTATCGGACCATGTGTTCCCCGAATCGGTTTGGAAAGCCTTCGGGAAACACGTGGGTATCTTGAAGGTCATCTTGGCCGTCTGGAAGCCATTTTGACTCTTTCGGGCCTTCTTGGAGGACGTCTTGGAGGGCTCTTGGGCCGTCTTGGATGCCATCTGAAGCGTCTTGGAGGCCTCTTGGGCTGTCTTGGCGGCCTCTTGGGGCCGTCTTGGGCCTCTTGTGCGATCTTTGGGGGCACTTAGGCTGTCTCGGGCCGTCGGAAGGCAGAAGAAAAGCAAATGCCACAATCCTTCAAAAACTCATGGGAAATCAATGATTTTAGCTTTTTCGGCCCTTCCTGGAGGCCCTCTTGGAAGCCTCTTGGGCCATCTTGGGCCATCTTAGGGCCATCTTCGGCCGTTTTTGGTGGGCTCCTGGCCCGTCCGACGCCGTCGGAAGCCGTTTGGGTGGCCGACTTGGGGTCCTCTTGGAATGCTCCAGTGCCGTCTTGGAGGCCATCTTGGACGTCTTAAAAGTCTCCTGGGCTTTCTTGGGGGCCTCTTGGCGGGCCTCCTCAGAAGGTTCGGAACCACCGGGGTCTTGCGAGAAGTTTTCTACGTACGCCTTCCCCGAGAGCACGGAGTGCCTCTCGGCATGCCAGAGGGCGTCTGAGAAGCCCCACCGCCTTCTGAGAAGGCTTGACCCCTGGGCGCGCTGCCGATGATCTGCCTCTGCCGTTCGCGGCCCTGGCCCCCCGACTCCCGACGTCGTGATTTGTTCGCAACGTCGACCCCCAGAGGTCTGGACCCTTTCGCAGGGACCGGTTTTGCATTCCGAGTCGTTTTTTGACGGTCCCGAGGCCCGGCGAGGACCTCCAGAGGGCGAAAATAGTCAAAAACCTCCCGTCGTGATTTTTTCGCGACGCGAGGGGGTCTGGGCCCCTTGCGTGCTGGGCCGGTTCAGAGACGCTCGCCGCCCACCTGCACGCCGGCCCCGACCGTGCCAGGTCCTGGACGGGAGTCCCTGGCCAGGTGTGGCGGGGAGGGTGGGCGGGGAGGGAGGGCAGGAGGGTGAGGGGGGAGGAAGGCGGAGGAGGAGGAGGAGAAGGAGGAGGACGAGGACGAGGACGAGGACGAGGAGGAGGAGGAGGAGGATGAGGATGAGGAGGAAGAACGATAATAAGAAGGGAAGGACGAGAAGGAGGGGGGAGGATGAGGAGGGAAGAGAGGAATCTGAGCGAGGAGGAGGAGGCGGGGGGAGAGGAAGATAATGCTACCAGACTGTCGGATCGTACAGCCATAGCGGTGGCGGGCCCTTGTGCTTATGAGGTGCGTGAGGCTCCGCCTTTTCTGAACTGGTGCCCAGGGGTCGTAGTCTTTGTCTGACGGGATGTGCTTGACTGGTTGTAACAATTTAGCCCACATGTCTGATCAAGACGATCGAAATAGGTATTTAAGGAAAACACGGGTACAAAGACCGACAGCAGTTCTGATTCATTCTGAATCAGACTCGCTGTCGCCGTCGCACGTTGTACAGTTGAGTCAGAAGGCCGCCTGCCCAATAGCGGCCGCTGTCGGTTTGGGATTTGGGACAGCGTTTGTTGTTAGGCATCGTACCTTTTTTCCGCACCCATTCCAGATTGGCGCTAATGATTTAGCCCACACGTTTGAGCAAGAGTGTGACATCCACTGCGGGCGGATAATTGAAAAAGAACTTTCGAGTGGGAGGGCGAGGCAGGAGGCAGGAGGAGGGCGGAGGAAGGAGTAGCGCCAAAGCGGCCGCCGCTGTCGTCGCCCGGGACTGCGACGGCCAGGGCGAGGCGGGGGAAGCCAAGAGAGGGAGGGACGATCGGCAGACCAAGAGAGTGACATTCAATTGGGAGATCAAGGTCAGGAGACACAGCTGGGAGACCAGGGGCACCAAGACAAGTACCAACTGGTTTAGTTCTCTCGTCAGTCTGGGTGCGGCACGAGGGCGGAGACGAGAGAGGAAGGCGGCCGCCGTCGCTCTTGTGGTCGCCCAGGGCGCCCCCCCCCCGCGCGAGGCCCGAGGACCGCCCCACTGCGGGGCAGTGCCTGCGGCACCCGTGGCTGCAGCGGTCCAGGCAGCCGCGCCCCGCAGAGTGGAGGAAGGGGGGGAGAAGGGGCGGAAGCCAAATGCGGAGGAAGGGAGGGGGAAGAGTGACGGTGGAGGGAGGAGGTGGCCATAAAAGAGAGGGAGGAGGAGCAGGAGGAGGAGGAGGAGGCCAGTGTGAACCCAAGGCCCATCAGAGATATTGCAATACACCTTCCCTCCAGGCTCCCTCCTCACAGGCCCCTGCAAGGATTCGTTTTCAATGGAGGAAGTGCCCCGTTGGAGAATAACCGTTTGAAATTCCGGAACGGTGCCAGAACACCATTCATGGGACTTCAACGTCGCGAGTCGCCAGTATTGTTGCGTCTTGGCGATCCTGAACCGCGCCAGAAAACCATGCCTGGGACTTCAACACCACGAATCAACGTAACTGGTGCGCCCTGACAGTCCGACATCATGCCAGAACATTATTCCTGGGACGGTTACCGTGAGAACCCTTGAGCCGGTTGTCAACTCTCAAAACGGATATGCGCGGCGCTAAGGCGAGAGCCACCTTTTGAAAAGGAGCGCAGCCCTCCATCCGTTCAATTGTTGCATGTGTTATGACGACCGTGCGCGGCGCGCGAGAGCTGCATTTTGAAAATTACCCGCCCTCCATCCGTGAAACTTCTCAGGGGCGAAAGAAGGACGTACATGTACATGGATCCACGCTGGTTTCGAGAGCACGCATTGCACAAATGTTCGTATAATGCGGCCCGTCTCGCGAATCGAGGGGCCGCGTTCATGTACATAGCTAGGCGCGTACGTCCTTTGTGGGCTCCCTAACTTCTGCATCTTGTTATGACGATTGTGTGCGGCGCTACGATGAGAGCCACATTTTGAAAACGACCCGCCCTCCATCCGCGAAGCTCTTGCAAATTGTTGAGGCGATTGCGTGCGGTGCTAAGGCTGGAGCAACATGATTTTGCCTCGGCCCGCGAAACTCGTGCACACTTGTAAGACGGATGTGCGCGGAGATAAGGCGAGAGCCACATGTTGAAACCGACTTGTCCCCAGTCCGTGAAACGCTTGCGAGTTTTTCAGACGGGTGTACGCGGCGCTAAGACAAGAGCCATAGTTTGAAAGCGACCCGCCCTCCATCCGTGAAACTGTGAGAATCCGTGAAACTGTGAGGATCCATGTTGTAAGCCTCGGGATCGTAAACGGTGAGGACGTCTCAGGCGCAACGCCCGGCCCGCCATTCCCTCTGGCCTCGGGGTGCGACAGTGAGGAGTTGTTCATAAGGAGAAGGAATAGAGGAGGAGGACCCCCCCCGCCTCGCCAGACCATCCCGCGCTCGGGGGGCTCGGTGGGGTGTTTGTAACCTCCACTTCGACGCCTCGATGCTGGGGGCGGTCGGGTGTCCCCATCCTCTTCCATCCTCCTCCTCCTCCTCCTTCCCCCTCACTCCTACTCATCCTTCCTCCCTCCTCCACCTCTTCGGTCCTCCTCCGCCCTCGTTCTCTCCCCCCCCCGCCCCCCCCCTCCTGCGTCGCCTCTGTGCTCCGTGCTCACCCAGGATGCACCAGCACGCCCAGGCACGCGTGTCTCGCTTGTGCAGTGCGCTTCTATCCGTTCAGCTTGTGTTGACGTATGTAGTGGTGGGATGGACGTCAGTCTCTCTCCCTGCTTTTGCTCACTGGCCCGCCTCCTGCCCTCTCCCGGCGAGCCTGCTCCCCGAAGGAGGGAGACGGCATAAACATAACCTTTGACAGTCCGCGTCGATTTCTTAGATCCGCATTGGACCCCCTCTCCTGGGTGCGAGGAGCGCGCAAAGGGCGGCGCCAGAGGCGCAGCCGAGGGGGGTCAAGCGCAGATCCAAGAAGTTCGCGCGGACCGTCAAAGTTTGTGTGTGCCGCTTGTTTGTTTATATATATATATATATGCGCATATATATACATATATATATATGTGTATCGTTTTCTTTGTTTGAGTGTTCTCTGTTTCTCTTTCTCTGTCTTTCTTTCTCTCTCTCTCTCTCTCTCTCTTTTTGTTGTTTTTCTCTCTCTCTGTCTCTCTCTCTCTCTCTATATATATATATGTATGTATGTATGTATGTATGTATGTATGTATGTATGTATGTATGTATGTATGTATGTATGTATGTATGTATGTATGTATGTATGTATGTATGTATGTATGTATGTATGTATGTATGTATGTATGTATGTATGTATATATATACATATATATATAAGAATAAATATATTCCCTTTTCTATATTTTTACAACCCGGGGGGGTGTGACCCCCCCCCCCCGGTAAATCCGTACCCCCGGGATCTGGAGATTTTAGGACCCCCCTGGACGCTCTTGCAAGGGGTCCCCTGGGCCTCCGGTCCACCTGGACGCCCTTGCCGGGCCTAGCCAGCGGGCCCAAAGCGGTCAGGAGGGTGGCAAAACGGCCCTGCGAAGGCCCCAAGCGGCTCTAAGAACCCACCGTGCACTCGAAGACGGCCCAAAGAGCACTCCGATGTGCACCTCGATGCGACAAAAAACATTGATTTTCGCATAGTTGTTCAGAGATTCTTGGAACCTCGGTTCTTCGGTCTTCCGGGCGTCCGAGACCGCCCGAGAGGCACGGAAAAAAATCCCAAACCCAACCAGACCGGCCTCCGGACAGTCCAAGCGAGCGCCAAGATGGCCCAACAGGGCCTTGATATGGCTCCAAGAGATGCCCATGACGGCCCGGGACGGCTCCAGGACGCTCCCCAAATCAATCCACATCGTGACCCGGTCGTTGAGGGAGCCCGGGTTCGCAGCAAAGCGGCCCGAGGAACCCACCAGAGGCTTCCGAAGGGAGCCCCAAGAGGCCAAAAGCGTCGAATTCCGATGGAGAAACACAGATCTCTAACAGGTACGGGTTTTGCGCCTTCCGGGATTCAAACACGGACCAAGACGCCCCCTAACTGTTCCAACCGGGCCCGAGAGGCTCCGACGACGGTCCAGGAGGGTCCCAAAGCGACGCAGGAGACGCCCAAGGCAGCCAAAAGAAGCTCCAAAACTGTCGCCGAAAGGCCCCAAGGACTCCCACAGGGGCCCCCAACAGGCTCCAGCCCCCCCTAAGAGGCCCAAGCCAGGCTCCCGAGAATGCCACAATCGCTTCCAGAAGGCCTGCTGGCTTTTACGAGCTCCCCCAAGAAGCTTCCGAAGAGAGCCTCAAGAAGCCACAGTCGTCGAATTCCTGAAAGGAAACGTGCAGAAGTCAGAAAAAAATGTGGAATGTTTTTCAGACGAGAGGCTGCGAAACAAGATGCACGGCGCGAAGCGCCAGTGCAGCCTTGAATACATATATATATATATATATATATATATATATATATCATCTAGGGACGTTGTTATCTCTCCTTGCTTCTGTCTGCTGGCCCGCCTCTGTCCCTCCCTCTTCGGGCGAGCCTATTCCCTCACCCATCCCGCCGTCTGGCGGGAGCGTAGGGGCTAAGGTGGCGCTCATCTTCTTCGGGTTGAAAGCGCTGGGATCCGAGTCGCGCCTATCCCCCCTCGGGCGTACATAGCCCACCCTGCCCGGGAACCTTCGGGTCTGGCTACAGTCGTCCTTCCTCCTCCTCCTCCTCCTCCTCCTCCTTCTCCTCCTCTTCGTCTTCCTCCTCCTCCTCCTCCTCCTCCTTCTCCTCCTCCTCCTCCTCCTCCTTCTCATCCTCCCCCTCCTCATCCCTACTCCTCCCTCCCTCCTCCTCCTCCTCCTCCTCCTCCTCCTCCTCCTCCTCCTCCTCCTCCTCCTCTTCCTCCTCAATATTCGTCCCGCCTCCCCCTCCTCCACCGCCCCCCCCGCGCAGGGACGCCAACTCCCTGCAGGCCCCGCCGAGGAACCCCTTGCTGGAAGTTCTTCGCGTTTGCGGTATGTTCTTGTGCATCCTGGGGCGGGTGCCCTTGGATGTCCTGCGTGTTTTGGTCGGCGGAGGCTCTCGTGTTTTTGAGGGATGTTCTTCTGGGGGCCCATCGGCCATCTGATATGTCGGCGATGCGTCGCCGATGCAAGCTCGGCGCTTCCCACGCTGGTCCCCCCTCGATCGTTCCCCCATCACCCCCTCCTCTCGAGAACAAGCACGAACAAGCCGCGCGGATTTCTCGGATCGGCGTTGGACCCCTTGGCGGCGCGGGGTGGCCATCGCCGTTCCAAGAAGTCTGCGCGGGCCTCCAAAAAGTTTGCGCCATTTTCGATGTGTCTGTCCTGCCCCCTCCTCTCTCCTCCTCCCTCCCTCCCTCCCTCCCTCCCTCCCTCCCTCCTCCTCCTCCTCCTCTTCCTCTTTCTCTTCCTCCTCCTCCTCCTCCTCCTCCTCCTCCTCCTCCTCCTCCTCCTCCTCCTCCTCCTCCTCCTCCTCCCCCCCTCCTCCCTACTCCCTACTCCCTCCCCCCCCCTCCCCCCTCCCTACGCCTCCCTCCTCCGCCGCCCCCCCCGCGCGCAGGGACGCCAACTCCTTGAAGGTCTGGCCGAGGACCCCCTTCAGCTCCTGCACGCTGGAGAGCCTCGGAAAAAACCACGAGCAGGCGGCTCCTCTCCGGGGGACGCTCGGCGGGCGCGGGCTGCGCGGGGGGGCGCTGGGGCGCTCCTTTCTGCAGACTTCCACGGCCTGCCGACGGACTCGGCTCGACCAGAAGACGGACGACACCACCCCACCCACTCAGAGGATGGAAAGGGTACCCATACCGCCACCGTGCCTCCGTTTTCCCCTTTTTGGGGCCTCTTGGGCGACCCTCGTCGCCACCGCTGGATTCGCTTCGAAATTCTGGTCAGAACGCACCCCAGGAGAGGTCCAGGGAGTAGCGGTATCGGTACCTGGTGGTTTTCCACCTACGGCCTTCCATGTTGCGCTTTGGCCACTCGGGCGCCGCAGCGTATACCACGCAAACAGCCACGCCGGATCTCTCGGTATACGCTAAGCCCCGTGGGCCCATAGGTGGTGTGGTGCCGTTTGTTTTGATGTCCATCGGCCAGATTTTCTGCAGCCTTCTGTCAGTAAGCAGAATACAGCCCCTAACCCTAATAGCATAATGAATCGTCTGACACGTCTGCACGTGGGTGGCTTCGTCTGACACGTCTGCAGAAAAAAAAGGCCCCCTGTGCCTGATGCCCTTGCCCCTCTCGACTCTGGTCCCCTCCCAATGGAGTGGGGGTCCTTGGTGTTGCTGCTCCTTCTGCACACAGTCAAGATGTTGAGCCAAGAACCACTTAGGCTTCAGGAGGGGAGGCCTCTCTGTCGCCGATGCCCGCCGAGGTCGGGAGAGCCCTTTCGTTCCTTGTGTGGTCTTCCTCGTGGTTGCACGATGACCGGACGGCAGGTTCGCGTCGTGTCGAGTTAGGGAGAAAGATGGAGCACGAGAGAGAGAGAGAGAGCAGCAGGAGAGGGGGCGAGGAACAGTAAACACGGGGCAGAACCCGACGGGCAGGTCGGGCGGGCTTGAAAAATGTAAACTCAGCAGCAGTAGCAGCAACAACAACAACAATTGCACAGACATATGAACTTTTGACGGTCCGCGCGGATTTCTTGATCGCGCGGAGCGGCTTCAGGTGCGGCGCCCGAGGCGCCCCCAGGAAGATCCAGTGCAGAGGTCCACGAAATCCGCGCGGATCGTTTACAGTGGAGGCCCATGCCAAGAAACACCTTGCTTGCCTCCATGGTGCCTTTGGTTTCTTGGGTTTCGATGGTTTCGCCATGGAAAGCGTGACGTTCCCACACCAAAAATCGATGGTCTCAAGGTTGGGTTTCTTGTGAAAAAGGTTTCTTGTGATCGGGCCCCTATTGTATGCCGTTTCTCCTCCTTCCGTTCCAGACGTTGGAGGTCTGAGTATATCGAGTTCGCCTGGGGAGTCGCCTCGTTTCGTCCATGGGCGAAAGGCTGGTCCGTTCTGCCAAGCTGCGTCAACACCCGTGCAGAAACAAATAATCTGGAATCGTGATCATCAGCAGCATCATCATCATCATCATTCATCATCTTCCTCATCATCCTCATCATCATCATCGTCATCATCATCATCCTGGAATCATCCTCATCATCATCATCATCATCATCATCATCATCGTAGTCGTTTTGGCTCAAGCATTTTTATGCGCAGGACTTCGCAACCGAACAATCCGACAGGCTGAACGTCGTACGCTTTACGAGGTCATGCCGCGCAGGTCTAAGGTCTTGCTATGTATCGCGACGTTGCTGGCGCACACGGTGACAGGTGCCCCAGCGGCATGCGACGCATCAGTTCACCATGACAGCGGCGACAGCGAGGGTCCGAGCTTGCTTTAGGTTTCCGGGCAGAAGGTTCGGATTGGTTCACATTACCCTGGCATGGGAAGTCAAGCCCAGGACGAGGGAAATCCCTTGGTGTCTATCATGGTTTTAACTTTTAACCAGCCTGCATTCGTGACACTTGCTTTGCGGCAGATCAGTGCTCAGGACTATCCCAACATTGAGGTCGTGCTTGTCGACGACGGGACGCCGTCCATTGAAGTGGTGTTGCGGCCAGACTTGAACATCGGCGCATCAGGCTTGTCTTTCATGAGCGCGCCTGTGACCTTAGTGCGATCGGCGACCCGCCTGTCCATTGGTGCCAAGCGCAATATGGGGCTCACAGCAGCGCGAGGTTCAATCGTTGTCCATTGGGACGATGACGATTTGTACCCTCCGAATCGAGTGAGCGTATAGGTCCGTCCACTCCTCGTTGGGGAAGCGAGCATCAGTGCCCTTGAGTTGAAAATCATTGGTGAGTTACCAGGCGCAAGCTTTGTCTCAACCTCTGCTGAAGTTCGAGCTCGTCCTAGCACTGAGAAATATTTTCTAGGATCCATCGTTTATAACAAGACGCTGATTATTCAGATGGGAAGTTTTGCGGATGTCAGTCTTGCGGGGGACTTGCATTTTATTCAATCGCGTCGCTCACTCCGCCGGCCCATGTTGCACGATCGCTGCTGCTTCGCCGCGGGCCCGGGGCCACTGTGGCGCCGCCGAGGAGGAGGGGGACGAGGATGGGGGGGGGAGGGGAGGAGGAGGAGAAGATGAGAAGGAGAGGAGAAGGATGAAGATAATAAGTAGGAGGAGGAGGAGGAATGGGAAGGGGCGGAGGAGGAAGCCTCTCGCTGGCATCTTGTGTTGCTCTTGGGGCCAAACAGGGTCGTCAAGATGCTTCTTTGGGAGGCCTCTTGGGGTCTTTTGAGAAGCCGTTCGGGGTCGCCTGGGAGGCATTTTTGAACTTATGGGGCCTCTTGGGGCCTCTTTTGGGCTTCCTGGGGGCCTCCTGGGGCCCCCTGATACAGTTGGCCATAGATGAGTAAGTAGACGTGGAACAAGTTAACTGTAGCAGCCTTCATGTTGAGTTGTTCTGTGCGAAGTGCAGTTTAGGTGCCACATCTGATGTTGTTGCGTGATATGCGTTGCAAGTTATGCGTGTGTGCGTGGATGTAACTTTGGCAGACAGTGGGAACACATCTTGATGTGGTGCACATGCAGCGCGCGTGCATCCAGATACTTCTTGTACTTATACATTACTTATGTTACTTGCAGGTAACTTGTAGATCACTGTTCGGGGGGCGTCGTGGGGACATAGCGCGTTGCTCATGGATGATGTAGTGGGCGACCCGCTGGTGATGGATGACGTAGCGGACGACCCGCTGGCGATGGATGGCGCGGCGGGCGATCCGCTTGCGACAGATGGAGGAGGGGAGGGGGGGGGGGGGTAAGAAGGAGGAGGAGGAGGAGGAGGAGGAGGAGGAGGAGGAGGAGGAGAGGAGGAGGAGGAGGAGGGGGAGGAGGAGGAGGTGGAGGAGGAGGAGGGGGATGGAGGAGAGGGGGGGGGGTAAGAAGGATGGTGATGATGATGATGATGAGGAGGAGGAGGAGGTGGAGGGGGAGGAGGAGGAGGAGGAGGAGGAGGAGGAGGAGGGGGAGGAGGAGGAGGAGGAGGAGGAGGAGGAGGAGGAGGGGGAGGACGAGGATGGATGGCTGGATTGATGGATGCTTGGGGTGTGTTCTGTTTCACTTGAGCACGTGTTCTGTTTCACTTGAGCACGGCGTACACGCCGTCTGATTCGTACCGCACGCTGGCCGCGAACGCATGACGCAAACCTACATCAGAAAGGCTGTCAAGCAACGTGTACCACACACATGACTGCGTTCTCCTGCCAGTCGGATTCATTTCCTGAACAATGAGGAACACGTTGGCTCGATCTTGGACACATGCGATGGCCATACCTGCCGAACCACCGAAAATGACAACGTCATCAAGATGAATCCCACCAGCCCTCTGGGCGTCGGTGGTTTAAAGCGTTTCCTCTTCCACCCCTCCTTCTTCCCCTTCGGAGGGGGGGGAACCCCTCCCCCTACCCCCCCCCTACACCCACCCACCGACCTGGACAGGGGCAGGCCGCGGGTAGTTAGAGCGTCCAAGATCGACTCCTGGGAAGGCTAAAATTCTACACCCCTCACGAGGATCGCGGCTCCTGAGGGGGGGGGGGGGAGGGGGAGGGGGGGGAGGTTTTTTTTTTGAGGGGGGGGAAGGGGAAGGGGGAGCGCGGACCCTGCGTAATTTGCAAAGGAACGTGGCCCTGTGAGCGCGGACGCAGCGTAAATTACTTGGGATCGTGGCCCTTGGAGTGCGGGCGCAGCGTAATTTACAAGGGGTCGGACCCCTGGGAGCGCGACCCCATTGTAACCTACGAGGGATCGGGGCCCTTGGAGCGCGGGCGCAGTGTGAATTGTTAAGGTTCGTGGCTCTAGGAATGCGGACGCAGCGTAATTTTCCTGATGGGTCGTGACAGCTGGAGGAGCGGTGGCGAAGCGTGATTTTGGACCTCGTCTCGGTCGGTACTGCTTCGGTTCGTCCTGTCTCAGTTCGTCGTGTCTCGGTGTGCCGCGTTTCGGTCCGTCCTCGCTCGGTGCGTTCCGTCTTTCTTTGGATTCGCACCCTCTCGGTTCGTCCCGTTTCATAACTGAGTCGGAACTTGAGCTCGGCAGCAAGGCACAACGCGGCGCAGGACCGCGCATTGTTGGCACGTCTATTTCGTGGGGTGGTTCGTGGGATGTCTCGTGGAGTGTTTCGTGGGGTGTTTCGTTTGGTGATTCGTAGGGTGTTTCGTGGCTGTTCGTTGGGTATTTCGTCAAGTGTTTCCTAGCGTGCTTCGTTGAGTGTTTCTCGGGGTGTGTGCCGCGGGGTGCTTCGTAGCGCGTTTCGTGGGCTGTTTCGCGTTTCGTTTCGTCCAGCATTTCGCAGCACGGCACAGCACAGCGCAGCGCAGCTTCTGGCACGGTGCCATCACCATCGATGAATTCATCATTGCTACTGCCCATCGGCCAATCCAGGTGTCTCGAAACGTTTCCATACTTCACATGTCTGTATCCCTTTCCGGGTTCGTGGGTCCAGCATGTTTCGGCCTCCACGGAGGCCCTCGTTGCCACCGTTGGATTCGCCTCGGGATTCTGGTCAGAAAGCACCCCAGGAGAGGCCCGGGGAGTAGAGGTATCGGTATTTGTTGGTTTCCCCAGAGCCGTCGCCGTCTGCTCCGGGCCGCCACCGTCGGGCAGGCTGTACAGTCGGACTGAGGCACAAGATCGAGGTGGGTTCGGGGTTACCATCGTGTTCTTCGTGTTTGTTGGATGTTCTCGTGCATCCTGGGGAGGGTGCCCCTGGATGTTTGTTCTGGCCGACGGAGGGTCTCACGTTCTTGAAGGATGTTCTTCTGGCCCAGGTCCGACTGTAACGGGGGGGGCAATACCTGGGGGGGTGGGGGGGCCCGCAGGAAGGTGGCCCCAAATGGTCTTTAAATTGCCGCCGCGGGCCCAAGAGGTGCGCGAAAGGTGCACGTCACGTCTTATGCCCCCCCTCGGCGGCGAAATCCGGAACCTACCCTCGCCGATCCACGATCCAGGCAACTCGACGGGCGGCGGGGGTAGGGCTTGGAATTTGCCGAACTCGGCGAAATCCCGAACCCTACCCCCGCCCCCCATCGATTCAGGAGAATCGATCATTGGCGGGGGTTCGATTCGGATATCGCCACCGAAGGTCGCTGGGGGGTGGGGGGCAGCGTTGTTTCCAGGGCCAGGTCTCAATACGCTCGACCAGCGCGTTTGATCCGTCAATAGCAACCCTTGCGATCCCCATTCGCGAGAAGCTCAGATCTTAGGTCTGCTCTTACCGACGACTGGGCTGCTTAGGTCTGCTCTGACCCTGCGAGCATCACCCCCGCCTCCGTCGCCCCAGAAGCCCAGATCGCGTTCGCTGCCCTCCAGCGAGCTTCAACCCAGCATGCCCCCCCATAGACGAGTCGGCATCTCTCGGACGTGTGCATTCTCTCCTCGGCGAGGGCCCTCGAGGAGCATCCTGGATCATCTTGCGGAACAAACACGCGCACGACAGCGGGCAGCACAGGGGCAAGGTCGTATGAGCGATGTGCGAGACGAGCACCCGACGCCGCGCGCTGCCGATGGTCGGGAGCGTAGGCTTCAGGGAAAGGACCTATGCCTATGAGCGATGGGCGAGACGAACACCCGACGCCGCGCGCGGCCGAGGGTCGAGAGCGTCGGCTACATCGCGCCCGAGGTGCTCACCCTGCCCTGCCCGCCGCAGACGACCCAGGCCCCCCCCCTGCGCGGCGCGCAGCTGCCTGCTGTCCGCTGCCCACCCCCGCCGCTGCCCTCGGGCCGGGGGCGGCCCTCGCTGCGCGCGGCAGCGTCGTCGTCGTCGCTCGTCGTCGTCGTCGTCGCTCGTCGTCGTCGTCGCTCGTCGTCGCTCGTCGTCGTCGTCACGCGGCGTCGTCGTCACGCGGCGTCGTCGTCGTCGTCGTTCGTCGTCGTCGTCGTCGTCGTCGTCGTCGTCGTCGTCGTCGGCGTCGTCGTCGCTCGCCGCCGTTCGGCGTCGTAGTCGTCTCTCGGCGTCCTGGCGCGGGCGGCAGCCCCCCGGAGGGCGAGCGGGCGCACCCTCGGAGGCGACCGACGACGGCACTGTATTGTCCGAGGCGGCACCACCACCACGGCGCCGAGCGACGACGAAGCCGGAGCGGAGAGGACGACATGCGGAGACGACGACGACGAGCGACGACGGCGACGACAACGACGACACCGCTGTGCTGCCCGAGGCGGCACCACCACCACCACCAGAGGGCCCACCTCCATGCCGCTCGGACGTGTGTGTTTTTCCTCGGCGAGGGCCATGGAGGAACATCTTGGACCATTCTCGAAAAATATATAAGCGCACGAAAGCGAAACAGTTCGCGGGAAATGGGCGCCCGAGCGGTGGCAAGATGCAGCGATGGAGGTCCACGGTGCCTCCCCGAGTCGGGAATAGGGGGGGGGGACCTCGGGCGAGCGGGGGAGGGGGAGGGGAGGGGGGGGGGGCGCCACGACACCACCCCCGTGGCTCCTTGCTCTGTTTGTGGCGGTGTCGCTTACAGTCGGTCCGAGGCAGAAGGTCGAGGTCGGTTCGGGGAGGGTACCCTGGTGTTCTTCGTGTTTGTTGGATGTTCTCGTGCACCCTGGGGAGGGTGCCCTTGGATGTTCTGTTTGTTTTAGCCGGCGGAGGGTCTCATGTTCTTGAAGGAGCCCCTTTCCTTCGGCAGCGGCTGATGGGAGCCTCGTGTACCCTCGCAAGTCCGTGTTTGGAGCGCACTGGCGTCCGTTAGCGTCGGGTAGTCGGGGAGATAGCGCCGATCTAGCGCCCATCAGCGTCGACTAGCGTCGATTTGCGAGAGCCAACGAGATGGTATGGGAGGCTCCCATGAGTTACAGCAGGAAGGCGAGTCCCACACCGCAGATCTCTGGAGATGTGGTGTTTCAATCCCGGCGCCAGTCCTCGATGTCGGCCTCCGTCGGGCCCCCTCTGTCCGCCGCCGGGCGAGATTACGGATACGCTCCGCGGCGACGAGCGGAGACCTGCATTCACCTTCTCTTCGGGCTGCGCACCGTGCCGCGCAGGGCTTCGCCGGTGCTGCGCGGGGCGGCAAGCGGCCCCCCACGCGTGGTGCAGCCACATGCAGCTCATCGCGCTCGGGAAGTGCTGCTCACTGCTCCCGTGTCGTCGAACCACAGGGGCCCCCAGGGAGGGCGTCTGGAGCTCCACTGGGGCCCACGGCCTGCCGAGCTCTCCGCTGCTCGGAGGTCTGGGCCCTCCCCGGGGCCACAGGGCGCCGCGGCTTCCCCGATCTGTCGCGGCTTCTGGGCTCCCCAGCGGGGGCCCTCCACGGGTCCCGGGACCGTCAACACGATTACGGCAGGTTCGTGTCGTGACGGCCAGCGGCGACCCCGCCAGCGGCGTTCGACGTTGAACGCCGCGGGCGACCCATAGTCGTTCGATGTGGGGACGAGTCGGACGTTTCGGACACGGACGATCGTTCAAAGTTGAGCGATCCCCGCGGTGTCAGAAGCCAACGCCAAAGTCGGCACGACACGAACCTGACCTACCCGGGAGGAGTATTTGGCCTTGGGGACAAGCCCAAAGATCCAGAACCTGTTTCCTTTCAGGACCCGCTTCCTTCCTGCCAACGGACCCATAACCCCTCGCGCAATGAACAAATCATGACGGACGTTTTTGTTACTGCCATGTTCGGCTTTGGGGGGCGATTACCGAGCCTCAGGACTGCAAACAACGATTCAGGATAAAAAGCCAGTCCGGGGGAAGGGGTCGAGACCTCTGGGGGTCGACGTCACGAAACAAAAACATGACGTCGGGGGTCTGGGGAGGTCGGGGGCGTCCAAGAGGGGGGTGAGGATTGCGTGTGGGTACGTGGATCTCATAGCCAGGGCCATGAGATCTCCCAGATTTCATGGGCGCAGATTCCTCGGGCCATGGCGTGGTAACCCCCTCTTCGGCGCACCCGACGGCGGGGCTGCGGCATGCTGAATGCCGCAACCTTCAGGGAATATGCTGACACCCCCGCCGCCCCTGACAAAAACAATACAACGTGCTCGCGGGCCTCACGAACATGACCCCAGACTTTGCCCCACAGGGAACTTCGCACTGTTCCCGGAAAGGGCGTGGGCCCAGGGTTCTCTTTTGGAGGTTTGCCCCCGGAATCGACGACTGTAGGGCCAGCGGGATTATTTGCGATCAATATCGAGGTCGCCTAATTAGGGCCGGCGGAATTATTTTTGCGGATGTCTCGAGCGAAGCGCTTGTTTTTCAGAATGTTGTTGAGGATGTCTCGAGCGAAACGCTTCCTTTGTGTTATAGAGTGTCCTCTCCTGGGGACCAGAATGCAGAGGATCTCTCAAGTGAAATGCTTGTTTTCACGTGCCCAGGTCTTGAGGATGTCTCGAGCGAGACGCTTGGTTTCACGCCTCCAGGTTGCCCACTAGCGCCAGGATTTGTTGAGGAAATCTCGAGCGAGACGCTTGGTTTCACGCGTCCTCGTCGCCCAGGCGGATGTCTAGCATGAGGATGTGTTGAGAAAGTCTCGATCGAGATGCTTGTTTGCACGTGTCCAGGTTGCCCAGGTGGATGCCTAGCATGAGGATGTGTTGGGAATGTCTCGAGAGATACGCTTGTTTTCACGTGTCCAGGTCACCCGGGCGGCTGTCTAACATGAAGATGTGTTGAGGATGTCTCGAGGGAGACGCTTGCTTTCACGTGTACAGGTCGCCCAGGCGGATGGCTAGAACGAGGATGTACTGAAAACTTCTCGAGCGAAACGCTTGTTTTCACGTGCCCAGGTCACCCAGGCGGACGTCTCACATGAAGATGTGTTGAGGATGTCTCGAGCGAACCACTTGTTTTCACGTGTCCAGTCCGCCCAGGCGGATGCCTAGCATGAGAATGTGTTGAGGATGTGTTGAGCGAAACGCTTGTTTTCACGTGTCCAGGTCGCTCAGGCGGATGTCTAGCATGAGGATTTTGACAGGATGTCTCGAGCGAAACGCTCGTCCCCAGCACGTTCCGTAGAGCGTCCCCTTGGCACGTCCTGCGGTGCGTCCCCATGGCTCCGCTGGCATGTCGCTTGGCGCGTCCCTTGAGACGTTCCGCGGCGCGTCCTCCTGGCATGTCCCCTTGTCAACTAGCTCTGGGGCAGCTACTAGTTATGTGCTCAGGCAGCTCGAGCTTAAAGTCCAGATCAGTTCGGTCAGGACTCGGACGCAAAGGAGGACTCGATCCACAACGCAATAGAGCACAATCGCGGCATGGCACATCGCAGTTCAGCACGGCGCAGCATAGCACAGCCCTCGGCACGGTACATCAAGATCGATACACTCAGCATTGCAACCTGGCACGTTCCTTGGCACGTTCCGTGGGGCGTCCCTTGGCGAGTCCCCCTGGCACATCCCGTGGCGCGTCCATTGGCAGCGTCTCCTTGGCACGTCCCGCGGTGCGTCCCCATGGCGCGTCCCTTGGCACGTCGCCTGGCGCGTCCCTTGAGACGTTCCGCAGCGCGTCCTCCTGGCATGTCCCCCTGTCAATTAGCTCTGGGGTGGCCGCGCATGATCCAGACATAGCCGCGAGGTGCATTTTGTATGGTTTTTCGTCAGGGATGGTAGCCCTGCGCTCAGCAGGAAATATGCTGACACCCCCGACGTCCCCTTCAAAAACAAAGTGCCCGCGGGCCTCACAAACATGACTCCAGACTTTGCTCCAACGTGTACTTTGTATAGCTTTTTGAGAGGGATGGTGGGGGAGGGCGCGTTTGGTTTTCCTGCGCATGCTCCGAATTTGAAGGCAGAGTGTGTGTGGCACTGTTGCCGGAAAGGGCACGAGCCCAGGGTTTTCTTTTCGTAAGTCAATCTGTCCCCCGGTGCGAAGTTCGACCAGGGCCAGCGAGTTATTTTGCGTTAAACAACAAGGTCGAAGAGGGCCGGCTAATCTAAAGGTGAGGATGTCCCGAGCGAAACGCTTGTTTTGCAGAATGTTGTTGAGGATGTCTCGAGCGAAACGCTTGTTTTGTGTTCTAGATTCTCCGTCTCAGAGGATCTCTTAAGTGAAATGCTTGTTTTCACGTACCCAGGTCTTGAGGATGGCTCGAGCGAGACGCTTGGTTTCACGCGTCCAGGTTGCCCAGGCAGATGTCTAGCATGAGGATTTGTTGAGGCTGTCTCGAGCGAGACGCTTGTTTGCACGTGTCCAGGTTGCCCAGGCGGATGTTTAGCATGAGGATGTGACGAGAATGTCTTGAGCGAAACGCTTATTTTCACGTGTCCAGGTCGCCCAGGCACAGTACAGCCTTCGGCACGGCACATCGAGATCGATACATTCAGCATTGCAACCTGGCGCTTCCTTTCTCGTCAAGGGACGCGCCAGGTTGCAATGCCCTGTGGCACGTCGCGCGGCGCGTCCCCGTGGCGAGTCCCCCTGGCACGTCGCGCGGCGCGTCCATCCCGCGGCACATCCATTGGCACGTTCCGTAGTGTGTCCCCTTGGCACGTCCCGCGGTGCGTCCCCATGGCGCGTCCCCTGGCACGTTGCCTGGCGCGTCCCTTGGGACGTTTCGCGTCGCGTCCTCCTGGCATGTCCACCTGTCAATTAGCTCTGGGGCAGCTACTTTGTGCTCAGGCAGCTTGAGCTTAAGATCCAGATCAGTTCGATCAGGACTCGGATGCAAATGAGGACTCGATCCACAACGCTATACACTGTGGGCGCGCATAAAGAAACCATCTACTTTTCGTCAGGGTATCCTGGGTTTCTTTGCTCCGCGCGCTGCGCGTTGACTTCCCGCGGCCGTTGAAAGAGCTGCTGCGTTCAGGGTGCTCCAGGTTTCCCCTCAGGTGCACCTCGCGCACGGCTTCTCAGGGTTGGGTTTCTTGCGAGGGTTTCTTGCGGCCGCGCCCGCACTGTAGTGCTCAATCGCGGCATGGCACATCGCAACTCAGCACGGCGCAGCACAGCACAGCCCTCGGCACGGTACATCAAGATCGATACATTCAGCATTTCATTTCCCCGTCGCCCAATCAGGTGTTTTTTGAAGCGTTGCCATGCCTTACATTTCTATATTCCTTGCCGGGTTCGTGGGTCGATCATGTTCAGTAAGACAAAGGCAGCGAGACACAGAGAGAGAGAGCGAGAGAGAGAGAGAGAGAGTTCCAGGCTCCCACGAGGACTCCCACGAGGTCTCTTACCAAGACGCATGCTAGCACCCGTCCGTAGCCATTTATTTCACACATTTTCCTCGCTCGCTCGACCCTGGGAGTGCTTGTCGCCACCGTCGCGGCTAAGGTGGCGATACAGGGGGGCTCTGGCGATCACACGCCTGCGGAAGGGGGGTGCTGAGGCCGCTGCTGCGACCGAGGGCGAAGCCGAATGGCTTAAGACGTGCCGCACCCAATCACATGGGTGCACGCCCGCCCCCGAACCGCCTTCCTTCTGTACATCCCCTCCGGCATTCGCGCTTCGTTGCGCGAGCAAACGGCCCGCGCCGGCAAGCGAATCTATGCGCCACCCTGAAATGCCCCAAACAGTGCTAGCGCCTGAGGGGTATTGAAATCTATTCGTGCATCCACTGGCGTGACCCATACGCTGGAGGTCAGACGGGGCGGTGGCGGGTGCCCCAAAACGGCTATGGCGCGAGAGAAGGGTGTGAGCAAAGTGCAGGAAGAGGGGGAGGGGGAGGAAGCAGAGGGAGAAAAGTAACGAATTTCCCCCCCTTGACTGGGAGCTAACCTACTCATGCTTCCAATGCGCTCCCCCTCACTTCCTGCCCCTTCTGATGCTACAGTGCGGCATCCCAGTGCGCTCTCGAGTCAACGTGTGAACAATCGGGACGACCACTCCGCATCGCCCTGTGTGTTTCACACATTTTCCTCGCTCGCTCGACCCTGGGAGTGCTTGTCGCCACCGTCGCGGCTAAGGTGGCGATACAGGGGGGCTCTGGCGATCACACGCCTGCGGAAGGGGGGTGCTGAGGCCGCTGCTGCGACCGAGGGCGAAGCCGAATGGCTTAAGACGTGCCGCACCCAATCACATGGGTGCACGCCCGCCCCCGAACCACCTGCCCCACCGACACTTCCAGTGCGCCAAGCCCCCCTCAAGCCACTCCCCCTGGTCAAGCGCCCAGCAATGCTCTTCTTCCTGCTGCTCCGGCCTGGTGGATGAGCGATTCGGCGCGGTCGCTGTGCTTCCAGCTACCAAGCTCTGCTGCCGCAGTTTCGATGTAAATGCGGGCTGTGTTGGCGTGCTGCCAGCGGCCCACCACCATGACCCTGTCCAGGGACCCGGACAGTAGCCATAGCCACGTCGCGCCTCCACGCCGTAAGCCGTACGGGGTGACAGTATCGCCCTCAACCTCGAACAACCCGCACAACCATTTGTATTCGCTTGTGAAATGGCGGGCTGGCTTTGTATACAGTGGTTGGGCTGGCTGGCGAGTAGCCGCCGCCGCGCGCAACGCCGCTACGGCGATGCTGTCTTCGATGAGGACGTGTTCGACGCCTTTCTTTCTTTTCGTTGTTTTGGTGTCGTGCAGCATGATGAGTACTTTGCGCCCGTCTGGGCTGAAATGCAAATGATGTGGCGCCAGCCCCACCACCTCGCTGGTTCTCAGGAGGCCCAGAAAACCCGCGAGGAGAAGCGCCGCCAGATCGACTCTGTGGTACGCCATAGCGGCCCCGACCATCGCTCGAAGGAGCCCCCGGTCGAGGGGGAAAGCACGCTTTCTTTCCAACACCGTGTCCCAATTGTGCAAATACTGCCGGGCTGTAGGTAGCGATTCCACAAATGGTGTTCGCAGCATATCCGTGAGAATCACCTCCCATCCATAAGTGATTGACGTACTCAGCGAGGCTGTCGTCCAGCTCTGTGAGAGACGCCGGGATGGGTATCGCATATGTCCGTAGATACAGAAAAAATGAAGAAACCGCTTCCTGGTAACGTTGTCGTAGCGAATGAAAACAATGAGAACAAGACTTTTTTCGGACATAATTAAGATACAATATAAGTTCTAACACGTTAATATGCTGGTGTGCTTTCCATGGGTACGACATGGTGGTCTGCCACCTCCACGAGAAAGCTGGGTACGGGACCGTTTGAAACACGTTGGCGACTTCCCCTGTGGCGAGCCAGACGTGGCTGCCCTTCGGGTCTGACCACGAAAGGAGGGAACGTAAATGTTTCTCCTCTTGTCCTGGGACCATCTGTCGCAAGATCGCCCCCACCTCTCGGGCTAGATTGTCCGCGCCTTCGCTGTAGGCCTTGCGGCGCTCCTGCGCCAATTGGTCGCGGATCCATTCTGGTCTACTGGTGGGCTGCAGCGGCAGCGTGCCGGCCCCTAGGTCTTTCAAGGCCTGGGTGACGGCTCCGGCGTATGCCGTTCGGAAAGCCTCTCTTGAAGTAGCCTGGCCTGGCGCGCCTGGAAGCACCGTGCACAGTGCCCGGCAGTTGTGCAGGAACCAAACTTCCTGCTGGCCGCCGGCGCCCCCGTAGTCAAGGACGACGGCTGTTTCGTGCACCCCTGCGCGGCGGCTCACCGCGAGAGCTTCCGGGGTGTACCACAGAGGGTCATGCGCGGGGGCTTGCACGACTGCAAACCCCCAGTTGGCGAGCCTCCACTGCAACCTTGCGAACGCAAGGCTGCCGATTTTGGCGGGCTTTCCCCCGGGCGCCGAAAGGGAGCGCGAGTGCGCCTGCCACTCCGGGGATGCATTCCAATGCTCCCAAGCTGTGGCCTCGTCATCCGCTTCCAAGTGGATGTGTTTGCGCCCCGATTCTCGGAGCACCTCCGAGTAGGGGACCCTGGTGGGGTCGAGGGGGAGACAAATCTCCACGCCTGAGCAGGCTACGGCCCACGTAAGCAGGGCATCGGGGCCGGAGTGGCCCTCGAAGAAGCTGAATAGCCTCTCCCCCGCTAAGTCGCAACTTACCCGGCGGTGCGTGAGCACGCAGTCCACCGAACACATGACCGCGCCGCACGCTGCCGGACAGCGCGCAAAATTGCCGGCCCAAGCGTTTTCTGGCAGGGAGGTGCCGCACACGACGCAGCCCGCGGACTTTCCGGTCGCCCTGGAGGAGTCTTCCGCCAGCCTCGCAAAGTGCGCTTCGAAGCGCGCGGCGCGCTGCGGGTCCTGAGTGCGGACGAAGGTGGTAGCTTCGGCCGCCCCTCCCCCGTGTTCCGACGCATCCGTGCACGAGATTGCTCTTTTCACTTGCGCCCGCAAGTTTGTGTATGCTAGAGGCAGCAATAATGTGAAGGCAATGATTTCGTCCATGGTTGCTGCGCTGGCCTGAATAGGCCCACTTGCTGCCAACTGAATGGTCGGGAAGACTTGTTCGAGCACCGCGAAGAGAGGCCTGCGGAAGCCGGCGGCAAAACAAGCCTGCCCGGCCCAATGCTGGAGCGCGCCAGCGCTCCAGGAGCTTTGCGTGGCCAGGACCGCGCCTTTGAATGCTAGTGCTCGGGCCTTGTCCGGCGCTACCGCCAGCCAGCCCTTGTCCCCCCGCAGAAGACCGCCGAGGATGCCCGCATTGAGCTTCGCCACCAAAGACTTCGCAGGGTTGAGGGGGATGCCATATCGGGCACACGTGCCAACGAAGGCGATGTGTTCTTCCGATTCTGGCGCCTGGAGGTGCTGGAGCCGCGTTTGGGCTTTCCGCACGAAGTCGAACCCGTCGAGACAAACGACGCTCACGCTATCCTCGGGCACCGGCGCGTCTCGCCTGAGCTCCGTGGCCGCGTCGACGGTAGATTCTTCGAACACCAGGACCCGCATGACCCGCTGCATGATCGATACAGCGATTTTTGACCCCATCGCAACGCAACGCATAGCAACCCAAGCTAGCCTGTTCGGATCCCCACCGAACGCTGACGCTGGGACCTGCTTGGAGTACGCGCAATACCCCAGCCACTCTTCCGGGAGCCGGAAGATGTTGAAGCAGCCCTTTTGGTCTTCAGCGTCGTCCCAGAACTCTTCCCCATCTTCCAAAATGCAAGCGCTGAGTAGCGCCGCTACCGGGAGAGTGTGGTCATCTCCACGGAGCTTGCGTAAATACGCGTTGATCGGTGTGAAGATGGAGATGAAGCGCAACAGCGTTTCCCCTTCTTCGGAAGATTTGGGGGGCTTGTCGATGCCCATTGCCCCGTTGACGACCAGCCGGCCTGAAGGGTCGCGGAAAATCTTGTCTTCTGGGACCTCGGCGAAAATGCCTCTGGCAGCGCCCTCTTTCACGATTTTGTACCATTCTCGGTCCGAGGCGTGCACTCTCGAACACGGCGGGTCGAGGGGCCATTCGTCTGGGGGGAGGAGGCAGGAGCTTGGGTTAAGGACATCGTCAAGAAGCTCCCCGTCCAAGAACCTAGTGACGGGCACTGCTGCCGCTTCGCCCGCGCGCGGCCAAGCCGGCAGCACCTTGCTTGCGACCAGTTGCCTGCGCACGGAAACGGGCTCACCCATGTAATCCGTTTGGCGAGTGGCTAGGTCCGCCCTGATCTGGCGAGCGGACGGCGCGGGGCCGCCTTCCGCCAGGAGCTCGGCTGCCGCTTCCCAGAGATGGCCCGCGGCGTGCTGTTGCGTGGTCGTGAGGCCTGGTCGCGGCCCTGGCGAAGGGGAGCCTTTCGCGTCTCCCGCCCATGCTGCTTGTGCGACGAAGTTGAGGGCTACCGTCATGCACCACACTGCCGCCTGGCAGTGGGATGCGCGAGCACCGTCGTGCCCCGCTGCCTCAGACAACGACCGCGCGTGCTCGCGCGCCGCTGCTGCCGGCATTGGTAGCAAGTCGCTGGCGGGCTGGGTGCCCGAAGGAGGGTCGAGCGAGGCATGCCGCCCTAACGGCGTGTCCAGGTGAGTCAGCGCGTCTTCAAAGAATGCCCACAGCTCGTTTTCGTGGACTAGCTCCTCTAGCTCTTCGCCCGCTATAGCTTGCCACGCGGGTATTGGTAGCGGGGCCACTTGCGCCCCACCGCTTTCTTTTGCACAAAAGTGAAGGGGAAGAGGAGGAGAAGGAAGAGGTGCGAAGAGATCGTGCGCCGAGGAATCCGTTACAGCAATTGAAGAGGCAGATGCTTTTGCACCGCTCTGTAGGCAAGTAGGGTGAAACTGCGCGCCGGGAACCAGCTTTCCCGCTCCCCCGGAATCGACATCCAGGGGAGGCGGGCTGCGTTCGCCGGCAGGAGGTTGGGCCTGCCCGCGCAAAATGCGCTTCCCCCCGCTCCCAGAATCGACATCCAGGGCGGGCTGGCTGCGTTTGCAACCAGGAGGTCGGGCCTGCCCGCGCAAAGTGCGCTTTCCCACACTCCTGGAATCGACATCCAGGGCGGGTGGGCACGGGTAGCGGCGGTCGTCTTTCACCACCACTTCCCCGCCTTGTCTTTCCCCTTCGCTTTGCTCTTCGAGGCCGCGCCGAAGCTGAAGCCCTTCCCGCTGAAGGCCTCGCCCTTGCCGCGGCTCTCCGTCGCCCCGTTGACCGCTGCGCCAGCTTCGTCCGAGCGGGCGCCCTTTGGTGCCCCTTTCGGGCCCGAGCCGCTCCGGAGAGCGAGTGCCTGCTCGGCTCGGACCTCCGACCGCATCATGTACTTCTCCCCCCTGCCGACGAGGGACGGCGCATCCTCCTCGAACAATTCGAGGAAGCGGGCTCTGGTCCAGCCCCCGTCTGCCACCGACTGCTCGATGGCTTTCAAGTGCTGGGCTGCGAAGTCCATGGCTCTCTTGACCTTGTTGCGGCTGAGCAGGTCGAGCATTTTGCACATGAGCCGCATCTCGTTCGCGTTGCGCTTCGAGAGGGGCGGCTGCTGCGTGGACAGCACCCTCAAGTGGTACGCCGAAGCGACCGCCGGTGCGGCTCCTGTCTGGTTCTCGGAGTCGGAGTCCGCCTCTCCCCCAGGAGTAACCCTGCTGGCCATTTTCCACAGTAGCTTCTCGGCCAGCCTGCCTTGGTTCTCGCGCGCGAAGCGCATCAACCGCCCCTGCGTGGTGCTCGAGCGGTCGCCTGGGGTCGAGGCGTTGTGAAAACCCGCCTCGTCGCTGTCGCTGCAGCTAGAGCGAGCCCGCCAACGGCGGCGGCGCCGGCGGGGCCCGTCTCCTGACCGCTCCCTTGCGCCCTGTTCCCGGCCGCGCGGGCTCGCCGCTTCGCGGCGGCGCGGGCTGGGCTCTCCCCCGCGCCGCGGACTCGCTGCCTCACGGCGGGGCGGGCTGCGCCGCTCTCCGCGGCGCGGGCTCGGCGCCTCGCGGCGGCGCGGGCTGCGCGGCTCCCTGCGGCGGGGGCTAGCGGCGAACTGCGGGCTGCCCCTGCGGCGCGGGCTGCGGCCGCCACAGGCACCGCTCGGCGCCAGCGCGCCGGCGCCGGCAGCGGGGGCCACATCGCGGCGACGCCCCGGCGGGCCCCTGCTCCCCCGAGGGGAAGGGCTCCGTCCGCCCGGGGCGCCCTCCTGGCGCCCCCCCCGCGCGCGGCCCCGCGGCGACCTGCTCCTGTGCCCGCGGGCGCGGTCTGGCCTGTCCAGGCCGTGGCGGTTGTTGCCTTCCTCCAGGCCAGCGCGGAGCTCCTCTAGCTCTTCCCCGACCCCACGCCGGGGTCGCACGCTGCGGGCGCCAGCCCACAACGCGCCGTCGGGGGCCCCGCGCCCCGCAGGCGGAGGCTCGCCCAGAGCCTCCGCTCGTGGCTCCGCCGCTGGGCGGCCACTCGGCGACCGGCCAGGGGGACGCTCCCCGTCGGCCAGCGGCGTCGCCTCGCCGCCGCGGCGTTCGGCACCGCTCTCTCCCCCTGGCTCAGCCCCCTCGCGCAGGGCCTCCAGAATCCGTTTCTGGAGTCCTGGCTTCGCCGCCCAGGCGAGCCTGCCCTCCTCGATGTCCTCGCGGCCGAGTGGCCTCCAGGACTCTATATGGATTTGTCCTTTTGGCCCCCCCCTGCACCCAGCAGCTGCGCACACGTGGTAGACGTCTTTTATTGGGCGGCCTCCAGACCGCATCCAATAATTATAATAGTCGTCTTTCGCTGCAAGGTAGCGCGCTGTGAGAAGCACGCCGCCTTCTGGAGCGTAGTCTCCGTGAAGTACCTGAAGTATGTACGTACCCTGGGAGGCATCGTCGTCGTCGTAGGCGGCCGCCTCTATCAACTCAGACTCAAGGGTATCGTTGAGCAGGTCCCCGTCGGCAAGGGTTCCTGCTTTGATCCATCCCCCCGGCATGGGCCCGCTTGGGCCCGCTTTCAAGCAGATCGGAGGCTACAAAGGAACTGTCCTAACACTGGAAGTGCTTCAAAATTGAACTATTCCCCTGCTTGCCCCAAAACGGCTATGGCGCGAGAGAAGGGTGTGAGCAAAGTGCAGGAAGAGGGGGAGGGGGAGGAAGCAGAGGGAGAAAAGTAACGAATTTCCCCCCCTTGACTGGGAGCTAACCTACTCATGCTTCCAATGCGCTCCCCCTCACTTCCTGCCCCTTCTGATGCTACAGTGCGGCATCCCAGTGCGCTCTCGAGTCAACGTGTGAACAATCGGGACGACCACTCCGCATCGCCCTGTGTGTTTAGGCTTAAGCTTCCACGACTGGACGCAGGTCTTGAAGCAGGCGCGAGCGCCCCTCTTGCCTCTGTAAACCAGCCCCCCGCGCCGACACGATGGGCTGCTGCATGGCCTCCCGCCAGGCCGTCGCGCCCGAGGACCACGAGTTGCAGGCCGGCGGGCGAGGAGGGAAAGACCAGGTGGCGCCGATCATCACCATCTCGTACTGCTGGGACGCGCGCGAGCATCCCGACCCCAATGGGGTGCAGCTGAGTTTGGTGATTGACACCCTGGAGACAGAGCGCCACAAGTACTCCACAGCCAAAGGTGACTTCAAGGGGTTCAGCGAGATGGGGATATTCTGGGACTGGCCCTCGCTGCTGCAGGGAGACCCGATCAAGGCCGAGGAGGCGAAGGCCGCCGCCCTGCGGCAGGGCAAGACCGAGAAGGACGCGCAGGAGGCCGCGGACAAGGCCAAGCGGACCCCCGCCGAGAAAGCCGCCTTCAAGCACGGGCTGGAGGAGACAATGGACCTCTGGTACGCCCACCAGGCCACCACCGTGCTCCTGCTCACCCAGCACCCCCGCGAGCGGGGCAGCGCGCGCAAGGAGGGCTACGACCAGTCCGGCTGGACGACGTACGAGCGCTGCTCCGCGGAGCAGATCAAGCAGGTCTGGCGCTGGGAGGCAAGAGTGGGCCGCCGTGGCCGACCTGGGGCAGGGGGCGCGGGCGGAGGCGGCCGGGAGGAGGTGGCCGGTGGGCCCGGACGAGTTCGACCGGCTCATCGAAGACATGCACTTCACCAACGGCGCGGACAAGAAGGCGGTGAAGGCGCTCTTCCGCCGGATGAGCCGCGCGCAGTTGGGCGGCGTGACGAGGCTGGACTTCGACGGGATGCCACCCCCGACCCCCGAGCAGGCCGCGGGGCTCGCCAGCTGCCTGCGGCTGTGCGCCCGCCTGCAGAAGCTGGACCTGCGAGGATGCCAGATCGGCGACGGGGGCGCGCGGGCCCTGGCGGGGGCGCTGCCCTCCCTGCCCGGCCTGCAGGAGCCGCGCCTGGGCGGCAACAGAGGTCCGCACGAGATTCGATCCGGGTCGTTTCAATTCGGCGAATCGCATAGCCGCGAATGCCGATTCGATGCTGGAGGCCCCCTGCCACGATCCGGTTCGCGATTCCATTCGGTTGCCGAGCGATGCAATGTTGCGATCCGGCGCAGAGCGGGCGACGATCCGGCTCGCGATTC